CCGCCCCCCTGCCCAATGCTGCCCTCTACAGAATCCACCCCCCAAACCTCCAGGTATTTCCCTCCTTAGAGCTGGCAACCCTACATTCCCCTCAGTGCCTGTTGGTAGGCAACTAAGCTTGGTCCTGTCACCTACTTTGGCCTTTGGGAGAAAACACATTGGGGCCAGTCCTGATAGGGTTGCCAACTCCAGATGGGAAATTCCTGGAGATTTGAGGGATGGAGCCTGAAGAGGGTGAGGTTTGAGGAGGGGTGGGACCTCAGACAGGTACACTGCCATAGACTCCACCCTCCAAACCAGTCAGTCCCACATAGGGAACCATTGTTGCCAATCTCCAGGTGAGGGCTGGAGAGCACTCAGTATTACAACTGCTCTGCAGAAGGGAGGGCAGAAGTCAGCTGAAGTCAAAGGGGCAGATAATGGTAGGTTGGTGGCTAGCTGGGAAGGAGATGGGGTTGCCAACTACATGCTGACAAATTCTTAGGGATTTGAGGGGTGGAGCCTGGAGAGGGTGGGGTTTGCAGAGGGGTGGGACCTCAGACAGGTAGAATGCCATAGACTCCACCCTCCAAACCAGCCATTTTGTCCTGGGTAACAATTGCTGCCAATCTCCAGGTGAGGGCTACAGATCACTCACAATTACAACTGCTCTTCAGGTAGCAGAGATCAGTTCCTCTGGAGAAAACAGTGGACTCTGTCATTATACCCTGCTGAGGTCACCACAGCAAATTGACACTGTTTGCCCAAAGCCAGAGCACTGCCCCAGAGCCTCTTTCTAGATCCCGTTGTATTGCTTTCACAACGGGCTTTACTGCTAGTTCTGTGAAATAAGACCGGTAAATAACTAAGCCTATTGAACTTCTAATATCCTGACTGTGGAAAAGATGAATTGATTGATCTATAAATACAGCTGAAGAAAATGTACTTGAGTGATTGACAGTCCAATCCGGAGATCACTTTTCTGGAAGTCAGCCCAACTTAATAGATCTGAGTAGGATTCTGAGTAGACCTACTTAGGATGACGCTGTAAAAATTACCATTATTTCTGGTTTATGCACTCAGTCGTTCAAAACCTGTCAGTGGTTAGGATCCCTGAGCCATTAACGTTTGAAGACCTACCAGCGAGTGGTGCTTTCTGTCCTTTGGGGACACTGAGCCAGAACCAAATGTCTGGAGACTGAAATATAAAATGCAAGTGTACCCATAGCCAGTCGAGCTTTGCATTTTGAACACATCCCCTCCATTCGATCACCATCTTGGCAGTGGAAGAAACTGGGGAAAATACACTGCCCTGGACAGCCTTCTCCAGCCTTCCAGGAAGACAGTAAAGCAGGGAAGGCTCTAGAGCAGGGGTGTCGAACTCATTTGTTATGAGGGCCGGATCTGACATAAATGAGACCTTGTTGGGCTGGGCCACATGTGTCATAAAATGTAATGCCCGGTAGCGGAGATATAAACTTTATAAAGGACACAAACACAAAGGGTTTTTTTTAACGTAAAATAAAAACATGCTTAAAACATTAGCACTCTTGCAATATTTTATTTAACGGTGTCTGATAACTGACATCTCTTGCTCTGAATTATTGCATCAAATTGTCTGTGCTGTTGAAATCTTGAGTATGCTGTTCAGGTGTGTATCTGTCAGCTGCAAACCTACGAAGACGCAGCAGCAGCAGAACTGGAAGAAGAAGCAGAAGACGGCCAGTTCTACTGTGGGCCTGATAGAAGCCCTCTGGGGGCCTGATCTGGGAAGACGATCCGTGCACACCTTTTTGAACCACTCATGGAAGCAGCAGAATGAGTGCACGTCTGAGCAGGAATCCCTTTTCTGATGCGAGATCAGAGAATGTACCCAAATTCAGCTTCTGCTGCCTGGAGGTCTTCTGGCCATTCAAGCTCATCCCCCCCCACAGAAACACACACACACCCCCAGATTTCAGCACAACAGACAGCCGTTCTCTTCTCCATGCAGGGTTCAGAAATGTGCTGACCTCAACCAGATGAACACCAAGAACCTGGCTCTGCTCTTCGCCCCGAGCCTCTTCCAGACTGACGGCAAAGGGGAACACGAGGTCAGGGTGATGGAGGACCTGATTGCCAACTACGTCCACATCTTCAATGTGAGAGAGAGAGAGCGCGCCTGGTGACCCTCCCCCCAACCCCGACTGAGCCCCACGGGGGCCTCTGCCCTGCCCTTGTGCTCACTGCCTCCCTCTTCCCGCCCCACAGATCGACGAGGACCAGGTGTCGCAGATGGACTTGGAGAACAGCTTGATTACTACCTGGCGGGATGTGCAGGTCCTGCCCCTTCCTCCTGATTGTACCTTTCCACTTCTTTCACCGTTAGATGCTCTGGCAACAGCCGATGTCCAAGGCCTGGATCCACAAGGCCTCCTAAGCTTCCCTGGCTGCCGCTAGTCAGGCCTGGCCTTTAGACGGCCACTGTAGCTGCTGGGACTACTTTGCATCTGTGTGGTGCAGTCAGGGAGCCTTGATACACACCAGCTTGCTGTAGCCCCTCCAGCACCCCTGGAAGTTAGGTCAGTATTACTCCCAGAGGAGAATGATACAAGCTGGTTTGGATCCCCAGAAGGGAGAAAAGTGGGGTATCAGGGAAGGAAGGAAGGAAGGAAGGAAGGAAGGAAGGAAGGAAGGAAGGAAGGAAGGGGGGCGGGGCGGCAGGAGGGGAGGGAGGACGAAGGAAGGAAGGAAGGAAGGAAAGAGATGGGAGGGCCGAAGCAGACAGCGTGGTGTGCCTAAGACCAGTGAGCAAATTTGGAGCAAAGGTAAGATTCATCCTGGGGGCTTCCTAATGTGTGGCCTCGCCTCTTCATCAGTGTGCTGTGCTGCCTCTCAAGGGGTGGTTTGCACGGAGCTCACCTTCACCTTGCTTGATTACGGGAAGTTCAGTGGCTGGAGGGGCCTCCGTTGGAAAGCATCTAGATTCGAGTCCAGTGGCACTGTACGGTGAAGGTAAAGGTTTCCCTTGCTTGAAAGCTAGTCGAATCCAACTTAGGGTTGCGGTGCTCATTCCAAGCCGAAGAGCCAGCGCTGTCTGAAGATTTTTCCGTGGCCATGTCGTCAGCATGACTAGACGCCGAGGCGCACAGAACACTGTTGCCTTCCCACCGAAGCGGTACCTATTGATCTACTTGCAGTTTCTTGCTTTTGACCAACAAAGTTTGGGGGGGGGGTATGAACTTTCAAGAGTCAGAGCTCCGTTCGTCGGACAGCGTTGACTCTCAAAAGCTAACCCCCCCCCCAAAAAAAATCTTATTGGTCTCTAAATTGCTACTGGACTGGAATCTAGCTGTCGTACTGCAAACCAACACGGCTCCCCTCTGTAATGATCTCCGTTGGAAAGCGGAGTGTCTCAAGAGAGTGGTTCAGATTTGGTTTGGGCTTGTGATGGCCCCTTCGTGCAAAAGTCACCCTTTCGGTCACTTGGGGACTGGGGTTAAGAGACACTCCTGGCTCTGCCTTGTTGGTTGGCCATGAAGGTGCCGGTCAGGGGTCATTTCGTAGAAAAAGAGATGCAGGAGCTCATTAGCCAGTTTGGTGTAGTGGTTGAGTGTGCGGACTCTAATCTGGGAGAACCGGGTTTGATTCCCCACTCCTCCACTTGCACCTGCTGGATGACCTTGGGCAAGCTGTACTTCTGACAAGAGCTGTTCTTGAAAAAAGAGCAGTTTGTGTCAGAGTTCTCTCAGCCCCACCTACCTCACAGTGTGTCTGTTGTGGGGAGGGGAAGAGAAAGGAGTTTGTTTGGTGTAGTGGTTAAGTGTGCGGACTCTAATCTGGGAGAACCGGGTTTGATTCCCCACTCCTCCACTTGCACCTGCTGATGTGACCTTGGGTCAGTCACAAGCTCTGGCACAGCTGTTCCTGAAAGAGCAGTTTCTGTCAGAGTTCTCTCAGCCCCACCCACCTCACAGGGCGTCTGTTGTGGGGAGGGGAAGGGAAAGGAATTTGTAAGCCGCTCTGAGACTCCAAGTGAAGGGCGGGGTATAAATCCAATCTCTTCTTCTTCTTCTTTGTAAGCCGCTCTGAGACACCTTTGGGTAGTGAAGGGCGGGGTATAAATCCAATCTCCTCTCCTCCTCCTCATTAGCATAACTCATTAACATAACTCATTTGCATATGCCACACCCCCTGACATCACCAGAAGTGTGTCAGAAGGCAACACCCACCGCTCAGGCTCCACTGGACTGTTTTGGATTGCTCGCTATGGGGGGGGGGCACAGATCTGCCCTCGCAGAGGAGGGAGAGCTTGTACCTGAACGAAACTTGGCCTTAAAGGTGCCACTGGACTGTTTTGGATTGCTATGGGGGAGGGGGCCTCTGCAACTTACATAGCTGCTTCTTGCTCCTTGTGGCCAAGGGGCTGCTGGAAGCAGAGGGCAGGGCTTGTTGCATGTGCCCGCCCCCTGGGCTCTTTATTGCCGGAGCTCCGCTCCTGTGTGCTCCTGCAGGAAATGACCCCTGGTGCCGGTGGCTGCTGGGCCAAGCCTGGCAGACAGTTATTTCTGAGTCATCCCCTATTCTCCAGAGCAACTTAAGAATCCACAGAGGAGGTTGGCAGGGACTGCCCACCTGCTCCCAGTATGGCCAGCCCTCCCCCTTCACGGCGGGGCAGACCTTCCTGCTGGTCCCTCTTTTCCCATTCCTCACTCCCTGGCCTTTCTTCCTGCAGCTCTCCCAGGCTGGCGATCTCATCCTCGAGGCTTACCTGGAGCAGAAAAACCCGGACCGTTGCGTGACTCTCAAGGTGAGCGAGAGGCCCTTCAGCAGCCTCCATCCCAGGTGCAGCTGGGTCATGCACCACACGGGGCAGCTGCTTTTTCATTCCCGAAGAACAGTTGGCCAAAGGGCAGCTGGCTTGTGTGGGGAAACACCAGGGAGCAGCTAGAGTCAGGGGGAAGGGAGAGGAATTCCCGGCTCTCGTTGAGCCGTAGGAATGCTCCTGCTTCCACGTTTGCGTGATGATGATGATTGGGGCGGGCCTTTCTCATGGGCCTTTCTCTTGGCTTCAGGCGAGCTCTTTAGGCCCCAAGGGGCAGTTTCTGAACTCTGCTTGCCAGCCGCCCCTTCCGCTCCAGGCAGAGCCAGCATAAACATACCCTCAGGTGGGGCAATTGCCAAGGCCCAGGGCTCCTGGCAGGCCCCACTGCTGTCGACCCCCAATATGCCATTTCCCTGCCTCCTCACTTGTGGGTGCTCTGCCACCCTTGCGTTCAGTGGTACCCAGTGCCGTGAGGGAAAGGGCTGTGGGGAGGGCTGATGACTGTGAGCGTGGACAGCGGGAAGGCTCGTGAGCAGGGCAGGGAAGGATTGCAGAGGCAGGTAGTAAACACCAAAAATCAGCAAATACCGTGCTACAGACGATTATAAAATATCTCAAATAATTTTTATATATATATTTTCAATTTAGTCACCATATATTATTTATCATATAAGCCTTAATACATAGAAAGAATCGTATATCAAAACATCTAAGTATCGTCTCTTATTATATCACGAAAGATATTGCACAACAATATCAGTCCTCCTTAATTATACAAAAGTTTTAAGAGGGAGGACTCTAAGTCTATGGTCAGTCTTCCTCCAACAGAGGTCCAGATATCCTCGTCTTTCAGTGTCTTTCTCAGGGAGTTCAACAGATATTTCCAAGCACAAGGTTGCCAAATATTAACATAAAAGGTAGCAAAAACAGAATAGGTTACAATACTAGCAGTCTCATAGTATTGTAACCTATTCTGTTTTTGCTACCTTTTATGTTAGAATTTGGTTAGTATGATAAATAATATATGGTGAATAAATAGAAAAAATATAAAACAAAAAATACATACAAATTATTTGAGATATTTTATAATCGTCAGTAGCACGGTATTTGCTGGTTTTGGGTATTTCCTACTTACCGTGGGTCCTATTTTGGTTTTGTGAGAGGCAGGTAGTAAGACAGGTGGGTAAGTGGGTGGGAAGGGGCCTCTGGACCACTCTGCCCAGGGCCCCCCAAATCTAGAACCGGCCCTGCTTCCAGGTATCCCCGGTGATGACGGCAGAAGAGCTGACCAACCAGGTGCTGGAGATGCGGAACGTGGCAGCCAGTGTGGACCTTTGGCTGACTTTCGAGGTCTTGGAGAACGGCGAACTAGGTGAGTCGATGAGGCAGGCCTTCTCCGTCAGTCAGCATTGGATGGGGAGGGGCACAGAGGCGGTTCCAGGCTTCACCGAGCGAGTGATGTGTGCCACAGGCCTTCTGGCAAAGCGCCTGGTACTGGAGGCCCCCTTTGCCCAGACACTGGATGCCTAGAAACTTCTGGCTGTTTTTCAGAGCGGCCCCTGCACCCCAAGGAGAAGGTCCTGGAGCAGGCGCTACAGTGGTGCAAGTTGCCCAAACCTGGCTCTGCCTATTTGTTAGTGAAGAAGGTGCCCATCAAGGAAGGCAGCTGCCTCTTTACAGGTGAGTGAGCCCTGCCTATCGAGGCCTTTGGTGAACTGGTTTCACTCTCTGCTGAAGCCCAGCGGCATGGAATCAGATGCTGTCATGATCCTAGACCTATTGCCGTGTGGCCTGCAGGCTTTCGGGAGGCCTAGTGGCTCCATGGAAGCCTGTACTAGAGTAGCTACTAGGGGTGAGTCAGCTTGAGGCCAAAGTCCTAGAGAAGGCCAGGTACACTAGAGTGAGACGCATTAGGGTTTTCGTATTTTGCTGGTTTACCTACCTTGACTCTGCTCATTTTCCCTACTGAACGACAGTTCTTGTTAAATCTCTTGAGTAAAAATTGTTTTCTTGAGTAAAAATTGTTTGTTACTCTGCCTGGGTCCTCACGCCTCATTTGGTCACTTACAAGGGGAAGCCTATGGGAAAAGGCATGTATAAAGGGGTAGGGTGGGTGCTCTGGGCCCTCCCAAGGAGACCCATACCAGGGTGGTGGCAGCCATTAGAGAACCTTTCTAGGCACTGACCATCAGGACTTCAGACCTGGGGCCCTCCATATACATTCCGTCTCATCCTCTGGCATAGAGCTCTACTTCTGTAATCCTAGTCCAGGGGACCCCAACGTGGTGGTCATGGGGACTACGGTGCTCGCCAACACCTTTCCTGGGGCCCGCCAAATGTTTTTTAAAAATAGGCTGGGCCAGGTGGAGCGTTTGCCCAGCAAGGCTTCTGATTGGCCATTGAGGATTTGGTGGGCTGTGTAAATTTTGAAAAACATCAATTTGACAGCAGTTGCCACCACAGCACAAGGATCTTCACTGTGTGACTATAGGGCAGCCATTTTGTGTCTGGCTCTGTCTTAGTCCCATTGCATTTTTCACTGGATGTCTTGCGCTGTTCGATTGCACCATTTTTAATCCTGTAATCCACCTGGAGTCTCAAGCATTAAAGGCAGACTATAAGTAATGTTGATGAATAAATCATAGAACCTGGGATGTCTTCCCAATTTGGTGTCATGGTAAAGGGGTGTGTGCTCTAATCTGGAGAACCAGGTTTGATTCCCTACTCCTCCTTGAGTCAGCCACAGTTCTCTCAGTGCTGTTCTCTCAAGAGCAGAGCTCTCTCAGCCCTACCTACCTCGCAGGGTGTCTGTTATGGGGAGAGGAAGGGAAAGGAAATTGTAAACCGCTCTGAGACTCCAAGTGAAGGGCATGGTATAAATCCAATCTCCTCCTCCTCTTCTTCTTCTTGAGAGCCAGTTTGGTGTAGTGGTTAAGTGTGCGGACTCTAATCTGGGAGAACCGGGTTTGATTTCCCCACTCCTCCACTTGCAGCTGCTGGATGACCTTGGGCAAGCCATAGTTCTGTCAGAGCTGCTCTCTCAAGGACAGTTCTGGAAAGAGCTCTCTCAGTCCCACCTACCTCACAGGGTGTTTGTTGTGGAGAGGGGAAGGGGAGGGAATTTGTAAGCCACCCTGAGACTCCCAAGTGAAGGGTGGGGTATAAATCCAATTTCTTCTTCTTCTTCCATAATTTATTCTACAACCACCCCCACCCCACCTGCATATGAGACTGGTGTGGGTGAGTGGGGCAGGAGAGTTCTAGGTTTGATGTTGTCCATTTAAAGTTTTCGTCATCAGAGTTTTGCACTGCCATTGTAGTAATAAAGCACTCTGATGATAGAAATTTTAAAAATAATACTCTGCCTGTGTCTGAGGTGGGGGGGGCAGGGGGATCTAGAATCGCCAGGCTAATGTCTGTAGCAGTGATGCTCTTTATTCTTGGTGCTTGGGGGCCAAGAGTGGGAGGGCTTCTGGAGTTCTGGGCCCACTGGCGGACCTCCTGATGGCACCTGGGGCTTGGCCACTGTGTGAGACAGAATGTTGGACTGGATGGGCCACTGGCCTGATCCAACATGGCTTCTCACATGTTCTTACATTCTCATGTCTGTAAAGAGGTCATCCAGTGAAAAATGCCCCTGGCATTGAAGGGAAGGGCTTCTTTTCTTTTCTATAAAGGGATATATGTCTGGATGATTACAGGGATGCACAGTTTTTTTTTTTAAAAGGCATTGGGCAGCTGGCATGTTCTGTGAGTTTTACCAGAGTTCTGTGACCTGACTGCAGGGATAATCTTTTGTCAATTTCCATTTTTTAAAAAGATCCTATATATGAGACTGATTAACAGATGGCAGGGGTATGCTAGACCGCCCCCCATCCTCCATCCCATATGTACCCCCATCCAGGGGTTGTTGGCCCAATCCAACATGGCTTCTCACATGTTCTTACATTCTTATGTCTGTAAAGAGGTCACCCAGTAAAAAATGCCCCTGGCATTGAAGAGGAGGCTTCTTTTCTATAAAGGGATATATGTCTGTGGATGATTACAGGGATGCACAGTTTAAAAGCATTGGGCAGCTGGCACATTCTGTGAGTTTTACCAGAGTTCTGTGACCTGACTGCAGGGGTAATCTTTTGTCAATTTCCATTTTTTAAAAAAGATCCTATATATGAGACTGATTAACAGATGGCAGGGGTTGTCGGGGTGCGCGGAATGCTGGCTAGCACGTCAGTGCCCAAAGGGAGTTAGAGTACCCAAAGAAGACTGGAGTCCAGAATTTAGGTGCAAACACACAGTGAATTTATTCACACCCAGCGTCCACCACTATACAGTTCTCAGTGTCAAAGTGCTCCGCTGCAACCAATTCAAGTGATAGACCCAGTACGCTGTACACTCTGTACATATATACAACCATGAGCCAATCAGCACACAGCTGGTGCAATCCTTATGCAATACCTCAGTGCCAGGCTGTACTGCTTCAGACTGGTTAGAGCCAGCCTCCTTTGCAGCCTCTAGCTGTCACTCACTTTGACATTAGATCAAACTCATCTAGGCCAGCCTTACCTATACAAGTGAATCACGACAGGGGTATGCTAGACCGCCCCCCATCCTCCATCCCATATGTACCCCCACCTCACAAAATGCGTGAATGTGTCTGACGCTTTCCGCATGGGACCGTTCTCTGCCGTGGGGGAACTTCAAAGCAGCCACACCCACCCTGTGTCTCAGTCTCTGTTACGTGATTGGGCAAGACCTGCCAGCTCCCTAAATGTGCCTATATCCTCCCCACATCTGACCAGGGAGTGTTTTTATTTTCCCTTCAGGGGGTTGCTTCTCTACATTAGTGAAGGAGGGATGGGGTAAAAACATAAGAAGAAGAAGAGATTGGATTTATACCCCGCCCTTCACTACCCAAAGGAGTCTCAGAGCGGCTTACAAACTCCTTTCCCTTCCCCTCCCCACAACAGACACCCTGTGAGGTAGGTGGGGCTGAGAGAACTCTGACAGAAACTGCTCTTTTCCAAGAACAGCTGTGCCAGAACTATGGCTTGCCCAAGGACATCCAGCAGGTGCAAATGGAGGAGTGGGGAATTGTAATGTATTGAAGTTCGACCTGTGTAAGGTCGGGCCTCCACACGGTCATGCGAAGCCACCAAGCTTCGCTCCAGAGAACAATGGCCTGAGCGAATCCTAGCCCGCACCTATTGGAGGGCTAGGATCCTAGCAAGGACCTATGGAACGCCTGACCTAAGGAAATAACCTATCACGGGTGTGGGGTGTGTTTTGTGTGTGGGGTTTACTGGGTTCTTCACTTAAAATAAAAGTATGAGCTGAAATCACTGCATCAGTCTCAGTACTTTTCAGGAATCAAACCTGGTTCTCCCAGATTAGAGTCCGCGCACTTAACCTCTACACCAAACTGGCTCACTTGCATCCTTAACACAGTGGAGGCTTGTGGGAGCAGTGAAGAAATATCTGCGTTCCTGTATTTCTGGACTGGCCCTGGGTCTGTGGTGGAATCCCAGAAGCCATGGTTCTGGCCCAACTTTGGGGGGGAGGGTTCTTCTAATCCGTCTGCAAAAGATGGCATAAAGCCAGGAGATGCTCCTGCTTGAGTCCTCGGAAGCTCCTGCCGATCAGAGTCCACGGTGCCGGGGTCTGACTTGGCACGAGGCAGTCTCCAAAGCTTGTCTCAGCCACAGAGCCTGGGAGAAGGAGGAGCGCTTCAGACTGCACCCGTGCCAGGCTCCGACACTCCAAGCACACCTGTCAGAGGGCGGTGCTCTGCTTCCCCCACAGGTGCCAAACGCGAAAGCCCCAAATGCGGGCTGTTGAAGTGCCGCGAGGATCCGCCCAGGCTCCTGGGGAGCAAGTTTCAGGAACGCTACTTCGTCATCAAGGACCGCAAACTGCTGCTGCTGAAGGAGAAACGGGTATGTTTTGTTTATATTTTATCAGAGAGGTGCATTTTGCGTCAGCTCATGAGAGCGCCAGATTCACAGCAGCGTTTTGGACGTATTTGACAGCCGACGTTTCCTTTGCCGGCAGCCAAGGCAGAATTCAACTTCGGCATCCAAATTTTAGGTTGGATCTTATTTCAGGGATCTGTAGCCCTCCCCTCCAGAGTCTGTTGGAGAAAGGAGACTGCAGGGAGTAGCGCCCCTGTGGGGGGGGGATGTCCCCAACGTGACGTCATCACGTCGGGGATGCCCCGCCCCCTCCAGGAAGGCCCCCGCCAACGTCCCCTGCTGGGGGTGAAGATAGGACTTGGCAACCCTAGACCAGTGTTCCCTCTAAGCTGGGTTAGTGTGAGCGAGCTCACAGTTTTTTAGCCTCTGGGTCACACATTTTTGTCTTAGCTCAGGAAGGAGGGCTCCAGAGCAAACTAATTTATGCAGTAGCCAAATTGCTCACTCACAGCTTTAATGCCAGTAGCTCACAGAGTAGAATTTTTGCTCACAGGACTCCACAGCCTAGAGGGAGCATTGCCCTAGACTCAAGCCTTCTTCTCCCCCTCGCTCTTCTCCGTCCCCAGAGTGCCAAGCCGGAACGGGAGTGGCTACTGGATCTGGCCAAGGTGTACATGGGGATCCGGAAGAAGCTGAAGCCACCCTCACAGTAAGTGGGCAGAGGCGGTGGCACCTGGGTTTTGGCCGCTGTGTGACACAGAGTGTTGTGCTGGATGGGCCACTGGCCTGGTCCAACATGGCTTCTCTTACGTTCTTATGATCCTCTGGCAGTGGGGCTGGTGGGCTGGGTGCGTGCTCTCTAGGCAGACCCCAAACACAACCTCGGAGCTCCTGAGGATTGACAGGAAGTAATGGTTGGTTTATTTGAAGCAATATGTTTTGGATAGTTGTAATGTTCTAACTGATGGTTGATAAAAATTATAGGGTAGTTTTGACTCTTAAAGTGGGCCTTGTAGGGGAAAAAAAATAAAAGTAATGGGCTAATTACCTAGAGAAGGTGTAATGACCCTAAGTGTTGTGAGAGAAAAGAGGGATCTATATAGTGTGAGGTGAAAGTATATTGGCATTGTAAAGTGGAGAGCTGATGTTATGGAGAAAATATAAATTACTACGTTTAGGTTTGCAAATGGGGATTTTGAAAACTAACAATATTTTTTGAAATTTTGAAAGAATATCTTAAAGGGACTAGATTGATATTATATAAGAAATTTGAACTATATATATATATAACTTAAAAAAACTAATAAACCTTGCCCACCAACAATGGGCAAGCAGAAAAAAAAAGGATTGACAGGTCTGATCGCCATGCCAGCGGGGGAGGGGGAGTGCGCTTCCAGGAGTGGGGAGGAGCCGTCGCTATGTGCCTATGTAAGCAGGAAGTGATGGAGGCATGTCAGGGACATGGGGGGAAGGGTGACGCTCTGGTTTTTGGGCGAAACTCTATGGTATCATTCACTTCAAATCATAGACTTTTGCCCAAAAACCAGAGCGTTGCTCCCCAGTGAGCCTACATCATGTCCAGTTTTTTGCAGGCACATCACGAGTTCCTGCCCGTAAGAGGGAGTGATTGGAGGGGGGGGAATACCCAAAAGCGGGAGACCCCCGCCTGCACCAGGCAGTCTGGCAACCCTAGAGCTCCTTTACCCTGGTTGCTACCCCTGCTGGGATATGCATGGGGTCACTGGCATGCCCCCTGGGCCCCTTCGCATTGCCCATTCTGGAGGCATCCTGACAAAAGCTTTGATGTATCTGATGAAGAGAGCTTTAACACTCAGAAACTCATACCCCCAAAAAAAATCTTGTTGGTTTCTAAGGTGCTACTGAGCTCGAATCTCACCTTAAACACGTGCACCTAAAGGCTTCATCTGTGCAGGAAAGGAGCTCACGATTCCAGGGGTGCCGTTTTTGCACTCCCATGCCGAGGAGGGTTGGGATTGACTGGGGCTCCTAGCTAGGGTTGCCAAGTCTGGTTTGGAAAATACCTGGAGACTTTGGGGGTGGAGCCAGGAGAGGGCGGGGTTTGGGGAGGGGAGGGGCCTCAGCACAGTACAATGCCATCAAGTTCACCCTCCAAAGCAGCCATTTTCTCCAGGGGAGCTGATCTCTTTTGGCTGGGGATCAGTTTTAAAAGCGGGAGATCCCCAGGCCCCACCTGGAGGCTGGCAACCCTAGGACATGATGCCTTCGAGTCCGCTTTCTGAGGTTGCCGTTTCCTCCAGGGGAGCTGACCTCTGTAATCTGGAAATCAGTTGTAATTAGGGTTGCCAGCTCTGGGTCAGGAAACACCTGGAGATTTGGGGGGTGGAGTCTGGGGACGGACCTCAGCAGGGTATAATGCTATAGAGTCTACCCACCAAAGCAGCCATTTTCTGCAGGGGGATTGCGCCTGCACCAGGCAGTCTGGCAACCCTAGAGCTCCTTTACCCTGGTTGCCACCCCTGCTGGGATATGCGTGGGGTCACTGGCATGCCCCCTAGGCCCCTTCGCATTGCCCACTCTGGAGGCATCCTGACATAAGCTTTGATGTATCTGATGAAGAGAGCTTTAACACTCAGAAGCTCATACCCCCTAAAATCTTGTTGGTGTCTAAGGTGCTACTGAGCTCGAATCTCACCATAAACACGTGCACCTAAAGGCTTCATCTGTGCAGGAAAGGAGCTCACGATTCCAGGGGTGCTGTTTTTACACTCCCATGCTGAGGAGGGTTGGGATTGACTGGGGCTCCTAGCTAGGGTTGCCAAGTCTGGTTTGGAAAATACCTGGAGACTTTGGGGGTGGAGCCAGGAGAGGGCGGGGTTTGGGGAGGGGAGGGGCCTCAGCACAGTACAATGCCATCAAGTTCACCCTCCAAAGCAGCCATTTTCTCCAGGGGAGCTGATCTCTTTTGGCTGGGGATCAGTTTTAAAAGCGGGAGATCCCCAGGCCCCACCTGGAGGCTGGCAACCCTACTCCTAGCCATGCTGACGCACAGAAGCGCTTAACGTGTTTGCCCCCCTGTCCTTCGCCTCATCCCCACGCCCACCTCCAGCCCAGCATCGGCCATTCTCTTATGCCCCTTGAGGCCAAGCAAGGTATTACTCACCTCTCCCCAGCCAAGGACATTCCCAGCCCTGGAACACAACTGAGAAGAGCAGTGCTCTTGGGGAGTAAGCTCGTAGGCGGAGTCAGGGTTTCCAACCTCCAGTTGGCACCTGGAGATCTCCTGCTTTTACAGTGGATCTCCAGGTGACCAAGATCCTCTGGAGAAAACGGCTGCTTTGGGGAGTGGACTCTATGGTGTTGTACCCCACTCAGGTCCCTCGGTTGTGCTCTAGTGGCTGCTACCATTGAGTGTTGTGTGCAGGGCTAGAATGGCCATTTGACTGCCAGGGAAAT